CAGAACCGGTCCCTTTGTTGACGCTGTCAGAAGCCGTCGGTGTGACTTCTGGCTGCTGATGTTTGAGCTTCACTTTGACTCTGAACTGACAGAAACAGGCTGCGTCCACCGGGTCACCTCTGGACGGTGCTGCAGGCCCAAACCGGCCTCGTGTTTACCAGACATTCTGTCCTCCAGAGGCTCGGGGTCACGTGACCCCTGGGTCACATGACCTCCGGGTCACACGCCCGCCGGCCTCGTCAGCGGTCAGACGTGTTGACGACTGAAGGCAGCTTCAATATGTGTCCGACCGACGCCGCCGTCGGCTCTGAGAGCTGATTCTAACACCAGAACCGCCCTCTGTCTCCTCAGGATGAAGAACAAGCTGTGGTACTTTGAGTTTGGAACCACCGAGACCATCTCGGCCACCTGCAAGAAGCTCAACGAGTGCATCGAGGTGGAGGTGAGTCTTTACATGTTTCCTGTAGAGGAGCAGAGGAAGGTGGAGCAGAGCTTCCTTCATGTTTGTCTGCAGAGCAGCGAGGACTCGGGTTTATCCAGAACATCATCAGATTAATGCAGCAGAGACTGATCGCCTCGTTCTGTCACACAGAGCTGCACAGTGAGTCACCTGGGAGCTGACAGCAGCAGGACGCCAGCAGACACACAAGAAACACACAAAAATACACAAAAAAACAAAAAAAAAACTCCCAAAAAAACACAAAAAAATTCACAAAAATACACAAAAAACACTAAAAATACACAAAAAATACACAAAACTGACCATAAACTGCTGCATAATGTGTCACCTGTGAGTTTAAAGCAGCAGGATGCCAGCAGACAGACAAATACACAAAAACTCAAAAAAACACTGAAAGCACCAACAACACACAGGACCTCTCAGAACGTGGTGTCTGCTGCTGAACCCAACGAGCTGCTCGTCGTCGCATCAAGAATCCAGTTCACACGTTAGAAAGAGAACATTCATGATTCTGTGATTGGATCAAATNCCCCAAAAAGTTTGACTGTATTTTAATCACAACAAAAGTTTATTTTTGCAGATATTTTGCCATTTAAAGCTGTTTTTTATTAAATAATTGATAACGTCTTGTAAAATCACAGTTAAAAGTCTTCATTTAATAATAAATGTAAAAAATAAAAATAATAAAAAGGGTCAAAACTGTAAATAATTTTAAAAAAAACTTAAAAATCTGTAAAATGCTGATTTATTGTTTTACAAAATGACACAATTTTTTACTGTATTCATGTCAGAAAAATCATCGTTATTTCTACATGAGCATAATTACTGCTGTTTACAAAATTATGAAAGAATTGAAAATTATTTTTTATCTTTTTAAATGGTTAAATTATTTTTCCAACATTTGACTTTAAAATTACAGTTAAAAGTTAAAAGTACAATTAATTTTTCTTTTTCTGTATTTAAATCCTAACAAATATTTTTAAAGATGTTTCTGTGTATAATTCTGTAAACCTTTATTTAACCTTTATTT